AAGGGTATACGGTTAATTAAGCGACGTGGACAGGAGGCTGGAGGCTGGTTCTCTAGAACAGAAGACAAGGATGGATTGAAGGGCGTAGAGCGTAGTTTCCAGCTGATTTTATCGAAGGGCTGTTCTGAATCAACTAATGCTATTTTATTGTTTTACCTGTCGATTCTGGTCCCATCATTGAACAGGATACTTGTAGTCCCACTCATCTTTCAGGTATTAGTCATATAAGCTGGATTCCAGCATCGATACGTGTGAAAAGATACTTGATACATGCACAAGCATTCAAGAGCCCAGCCTAAAGAAGAGAAGTCTCTTTCATTTCAGCCAATTGAGACCACTTGTCATTCCTTTCAAGAAAGTGACACAGCTCTGTCATTTAAAGCACTGAATAACCAAACAAAGAAACGATATGATTCCAGCATCACACTGCTACTCGATTACTTCTAACTTGTTGCTACGGAAACGGGAGGAAACATGCTCCATAGATTGTAACCTGTGATGAATCTCCAAACTAGAGTTTCGCCGCAATCTCTACGCTGCATTGAATTCCGTATCCAGTATATATGTATTTCGCGTGTTATGGATATTCATGACGATAGCCATAGGTATATAACGTATAGATAGTGGAGTTGAAGATCACAGAGTGACCACCCCGGAATCCAGTCTGGAAATCACGGTTTCTTCAGGATCCTCCAAGACCCCTGCTGCCATCAATATCTTATAAGTGTGCACAATTACGGTGTGACGATCAATCTTTCTGACTCTTCCGACATCTTGGAATTCGACAGTCTTGATCCACTCTTGTGCATCTTCTTCAGTGTAGTCCAAATTGTTGAAGATATACTGGACAGCCTCTGTAGGGTTATGAGAGAAGTATGCGATACCGTCTTCGACACCGCTCAAGAAATGCTTCAGATCGTGCGCCTTCTCCTGAACGATCTCAGTTCTCGCAGTGATGACCCATGATGGCCAAGGGGTGTAGATATCCCCAATGTACTTGACTTCTTTGTTATCGTAGTATCTCTTTGTTGTGAAGTACTCCCACATGAAAGCATCGGACGCTTCCACGCCGTCCTTCTTGTTAACAGAGTCTCTCAGATTCTTGAACGTTGAAAGCACTGGGAAGCTTTCGTAGAAAGGCTGTGGGAAGCCCAGCTGCAACGCCAGAACATAAGCCATGACAAATGATCCTGAACCAATTCTACTGACACCAATCTTCTTACCCGCCAGCTCATTCTTATTAGTGATATCACTGTTGATGCCTGTGCTGACGGCCCAGCGCAACGGACTCTTAACATACGTCCCAACCAGTTTATAGTTCTCCTTACCTTGAGCAATACCTCTCACAAACGCCTCTGTCAGACCAATGGCGATATCAATCGAGTTATCCTCAAGGGATTGGATGAGATGCCCAGATCCAGATGGATAAGGGATCAGTTCAACTTCGAGACCGCGCTCTTTGAAGAACCCCTTCGACTGAGCAAAGAACAGCGGAGTGCTGAAGTGTTCTGGGATGTAACCAACTTTCAAAACCATGGCAAGCAAAGACTGGGGATCAATTGAGTTGATTGAGGCCTTTCTGAGGTGACAAGTGTAAAGTGTTAGGCAGCAAAGGAACAAAGGGACGTAAAGCATGTGCCAGCTGGTTTATATGGGTGTCCGGATGTTTTGCCCAAGGGCAAAAAAAAAACAAACCACAAAACCGGCGGTCGAACTTCTGACAACAACAACAACAACAACAACAACAACAACAACAACAACAACAACAACAACAACAACAACAACAGCTACAACAACAACAACCGCCTCTCTCCAGTGCTTTAAGAGAAGGAAGAAAAGAACAATGTCCATTGCTTTGAGGGATGGATTCCAAGGACAATCGCTTGATCGGGTATTAGAGGATGTTCTCGTGCGATTTGTGCTATTCGCCCAACCGGAAGAGCCTGAAGTAAGTGTGCCTTGTGTATAATGAGTCTTGGTCCAAGTGTTGTTTACTAATACTTCCGTGTTCAGAGGATCTTCTTTGATATTGAGCTTGCGCTATGGTTCTATCTCGACTTGATACGTACGGAGCATCCGCAGTTGCAGAACTTCAAGATCAAGGCCTTCAGCAAGAAGTTGGCTGAGCTGTACCCTTTCCTATGGGATGGTGATATCGAGGAAGGGCTGAAAAAGTTCAGCGGCTATAAGTCTTTGGTGCCTGTTCGAGGTGTTGCTCTGTTTGACAAGACTTTGACCAAGGTGCTGTTAGTTCAAGGTATAGAATCAAGATCGTGGAGTTTCCCCAGAGGTAAGATCGAGCAGGACGAAACCGACGTCCAGGCTGCTGTCAGAGAGGCTATGGAAGAGGTTGGTCTTGATGTGAAGCCCTACATCAACGAGAAGGACTTCATCGAAAGAACTGTCAAAGGGAAAAATTACAAAATCTACTTGTGTAAGAATATACCGGATGACGTTGCATATCGTCCAACTGTTCGAAACGAAATCGACGCAATCAACTGGAAAAATTTCAAAAGTTTGATGAAGGAGATTAGAAAGTCTCAAGGCAATTACTTCTTGGTTGCCATGATGATCGGACAGCTGTCTAAATGGGTTAAGAAGCAGAGAGGTGAAATTGACGAAGAATCTCTCAAATCCGAAGTTGAAGAACAACTCAAGAACATGTTGGGTATTGGCGAAGAACCTGTCAACGATCCTGGAAGGGAGTTGTTGGAAATTCTCAGAACTGCTACTGCCAAAAAGCAAATACACGACCAACAGGTACACCATGTGCCATTACCAATCACAGGGTTCCCAATCTATCCTTCATTTGGTACGCCATTCCACCCAGCAAATGTTCAACCTTTCAGTAATATGCATTTGATTGCTCCATTTGCACCACCTGTCATTCCACACCCTGGAATGATCCCTGCATATCCTTTCCCTGTGGGAAATGTTCTCATGGGACCAAGACCACCACTTCCAGCACAACAGCAGCAGCAGCAACAACAACCTCCTAACATTGCTCAGCTTCAAAGACCAAGTCTAGTCATGAGAAACGATCTAGGAAGTACAGAACTTTTGGGACTGTTAAACAAGAAAAATGAAAAGCCCACAGCGAAGAAGTCCCCATTGGCTTCACAGAATGAAACATTGTCAACTGATAGACACAAGGATAGCTTGCTGTCACTTTTGGGGAAATCAGCACCTAAAGCAGTCGAACCAAGTGCTTCAAACGCATCGAAGGAACTACTGGGATTAATAAAGAAACCAACAACCGCAGAGGTAAAATCAACACCATTACAGAAGTCCAATAGTAAGAGCAAACCAAGCAGATCGGCCACTCCACTTGGTAAACAATCCAGACCACAGAGTCCGAAACCTCAAAGGGCCAATAGCCCTAAGCCAAAGATTAAGATCTTGAAAAGAGAAGATAAGAGTACAACACCACTCAAGACTGAATCTAAGCAGTCCAATTCAAATTCAAAATCAGCTAAAACTTCATCAGCCGAAGGATCTACAACCCCTAATGCAGAATTGTTGAGGTTAATCCAACAATCTCGTGAAGCTGAGGATGACGATGCTGAATTATTCGAAGACTTTACCGATACAGAAGATGACCTAGGCATTACACCCGAAGATAAAGGCGAGGTACGTGTACCTTCACCTGAACCTATCAAGGTTCCAAGTTTCCACAAGGGGTTTGAAGAACGTGGAACAACTCCACCAAAAAAATTCAAAATCTTGAAAAGAGGAGAAGAACTTAAGGCTGTATCACCAATTCTAAATGAAGACTTGATACCTCATACAATGGCGGGAAATGAAAGTATAGCTTCTATAATCGATTTTTCTGATAGAAGCGGAGACGAAGTCGAGGCTGGCAACTCTTTCGAGGGTCCTGTTGAACTTAAAAATGATGGAGTTTCCGGTTCACAAGGAGTCACCATGAATGGAGGGTCTTCTACTAGTGATGGGACTGAAACTCAGTCTAAAAGCGATTTGAATGCAACTAATAACGGAATGGTTAAAGAGTCTGATCACACCTTGTCCTCTCCTAGCGATGAGTTGATGGGACTTTTACGCAAGGGTACTGAACCGAAACAAGGAAAAGATTCAGTAGCAAGCGCAGAGCTATTTTCCATGTTGCACAAATCACCAGAACAAAATCAAAAGAAAACCACAACTGGTGATATCGAACAACCACCAAAGGTTAATAAAGAGGCTAGTAATGAGTTAATGTCAGCACTTTTTTCAAAACCAGCTCCAGCACCAACCACACCAAATGTTATTGACCAGTACCCACAGACACAGGTGGAGCAGACCCCAAGAGAACCAGGGACACATTCATCAGGGTTGATGAGTTTACTCACTAAGACACCAAGTTCTAACTCGGCATCATCACCTGCTCCAATTCTTGCAACTACTTCATCAACTACGGAGAATCAGGATTCACAAAGCAAACACTCAAAGAACCTTTTGAATTTACTCTTCAAGAGATGATATAAGTACCTACGACGAATTCTTAAGCTTGAGTTATAAGCTAGTATTATTTTCAGCTTAATTCGAGGTTTTTTTTCTTCTTCTAAATATGTAAGTTAGATGCCATGTGTTGCAATTCAAAACACATATGGAATGAACATGTACGGAACCTCAGCCTTGTATTTGATCCAGTCATCACCGTATTTCTTCTCCAACTTAGCCTGGTCTCTAAATGCTCTATGGACCAATACGATAGTGAAGAAGATAGGGAAGAACCAAGGCAATGGAGAAGCAGTACCACAGACCAAACCCCAGATCATGGCTTGTGTCCAATCAGCTGTGTAATGTGGCTTTCTAGCGTATTTCCACCATCCATCAACAAGGAAATGGGATCCAAGCTTTGTAACCAAATACTTTGGGTTCTCAATATATTGGTAAGGCAACTGTGGGAAAGTCTTTCTGACAAGGAGATCTCCTTCCAATCTCTTTCTAAAGTAGCTCTTTTGGGAGTTGCAAGTGTCAAAGAAGTAGTACGCAATGATATAGACGGAATACAATGCAATCATGTAACTTGTGGACCAATTGTACTCACTTGGGTCATGGTAAGAGAGGTACAAAGTACAATGACAATAAGTGAATGGGACACCGGCAATGTTCCAGAAGATCAACATGAAACCGAATTTTTCGTAGGCCATATCCCAGGTTGGACAGATCAACTCCTCACCTTTGGCACATGCATTGGCATATGACCAATGAGCCAGGAGTAACAGACCCATCTGTGATGTCAAGTAACCGTATTGCTCGATCTGTCTCAAGGAGGCGCTCAAAGTGAGGAAGTAAAGGATAAACCATGGAATTCTGACTTCAAAAAACATTTTCCAGTCGAGGAGACCAAGTCTTGGGTTCAATGGTGCGCCCATGAAGAAGTCATACACGTGATACCCGGTCATACGGTGATAATCATGGGTGATGAAGAGCGTTGTGAAGTACATGGCAAAGGTGAAGACAAACCCGACAATGATGGCGGCAGTCATGATCTGGCCGAACAAGTCCAAGATCGTGTATAGTGGAAAGATTCCAGAGAAGTGCAATGCCAACGCAACAACGTTAGAGACGTAGAAGGACCACATTGCGTTACAGAAGTATGGCAATTGCTTACCTTTCAAGTGCTTCAAATGTTGACCTTTGACCCAAACACCAGGCCAGATGTAATAGAACGCAACCTGGGTAACAAAGAAAGTGAGGAAGATCCTCCAGGCCCTGCAAGATGGAACACCGTGCTCGAGAAAGATTTGCCACAAGTGTTGGAAGAATTGTGGGAAGGTCTCACCCTTGGCCGGCGTTGCAAATTGGCCGTTGTAGAACTCAGCGCTGATCCACATATACCACATCAGCAGCGGGAATCCAATCATCATACCAAGAACCCCTGGCACACCGCCGAATTCCCATTCGATGTCCTCCTTCTTCACGTATTTGCCTTCTGCAGCGTTGTCAGCCATCTTAACCGTGGTTTTATCGCTGAGTGAACTGAACCCTCGTGTTTGTTTACATCTACGGAGAAGAAGGAAGTTCATGGAAAATCACCCGTTGAGGTTTTTGTGTGCTTCGATGAAGGCTCGGAGAAACGTTGCTTGCGGACTTTACGCGTGTCCGAGGTTTCGTTTGAAGACGCGTCGTTAAACGAGCGATGAGCAGTCTGTGAGCCGGGTAAATAAGCGAAGCAAGCGTAGCAATTATTTTGTGTGGGGCCAAAAGTGTTATAATCTCTCACGGAAAAGCACCTGTTGGTGTGAGCTTGTTGAATTGGTGCCAGCTTGTACCGTTGGCCCGCTTCCAGGTTGAACGACCTGCCTAATTTAGCCTGGTGTGCTGGTATTACTTAGCGGATCTCGCTCAGTGAAGCTGAAAGCATACGGAGCTAGGACGAGTCACGTGCGCTACATGCATTTAATAGCACAACGACCAAGCACACCATCCTCACGTGTGTTAAAAAGCAATATAGCGGACTCAGTAGAGTCAATTCACAGGAGAAACTCAGCTATTTGCTTCTGATCAACGTCTCCACCAATGATGATCTCCTATTTACCCCAAGCACGCACAACTGCAGCAATATGCGCGCTGTATATTTAGCCGGCACACTCCGAAGGGGAAGAGAGCAAAAAAACGACCTCGGTCAGGATTGAACTGACGATCTCACGATTAACAGTCGTGCGCCTTAACCAACTTGGCCACGAAGTCATCTGGATATTTGGAAAATTTCTGGGATACACCCACTTTGGGAGTTTGGTGCAACGCAGAAGAGAACAGCTCTAGTTGTTTCTTAATAGACTTGAGATGCAATTGAAAGAGATGAATTGTTTAAAAAAGCAATATTTGTTACTTTAAAATATTCTTGAGAAGTGATCATGTCCTTTCTTTATCTAAAACAGGCTAAAGGTGCTCATCTATTTCTCACTGCGGGACACAGAGCTCATCTCATCACAGCAGAAAAAAATTAGAGAAAAATTTCATAGCCTTTTCGGCTTCACTTGTATTGGACATAAAAGTTTCCATTAAAGGGCTATAGGAGGAAGTGAACAATGTCAGCCACAGAAGAGGTACACGGGAAAAAGAGACAGCTTGACGAGATTGAGATTGATCTGAGTCAAACTGCGCCTTTGTCAAAGAAGCAAAAACGTTTACTGAGAAAGGGTAAATTGGACCTGACCAAATTGGAACAAGCTCAGAAGGAAGAAGCTGAAAGGCTCATAGAAAGTGCTAAAAATGAAACTGAACAACCCGAAGCCACAGCAGATGAGGAAAAAGCTGAAGGAACCGAGCAAGAAAAGAAGAAGAAAGAGAAGAAAGAGCCCAAGTTTGGTGTATGGATTGGGAACATGGCATTTGATACTGAGAAGGGAGACGTTGTGAGATTTATCGTTTCCAAGACTGCTGAATTACCAGAGTATTCCACAGAACTTTCTGATGATGAACCATGTAAGGTCACAGAGAAAGACGTGGCAAGATTCAATTTGCCAAATCAATCTGGCTCGAAGAAGATTAAAGGTTTTGCCTATGTCGACTTCAACACCAAAAACCACCAATTGGCAGTCATACAGCTAAGTGAACAACAGTTGAACGGGAGAAACTTGCTCATCAAGGATTCCAAATCATTTGCAGGTAGACCGACAAAGGAAGATGTTGAACTTTCAAAGAATCCACCGTCTAGAATTCTGTTCGTTGGTAACCTCTCCTTTGATACCACCCAAGAGATGCTCACTGACCAATTCCAGCACTGTGGTGAGATTGTAAAGATCCGTATGGCAACTTTCCAGGATACCGGTAAGTGTAAAGGGTTTGCATTTATCGATTTCAAAGATGAAGAAGGTCCAACAAAGGCCCTAAAGGACAAATCCTGCAGAAAACTGCTGAGTAGAACTTTGAGAATGGAATACGGTGAAGACAGATCCAAGAGAACTCCTAACCATATAAGTAAGGACAAGAATGGCTCTGATGACCGCAATAATGTTTCTCGCGGCGAGGAGCCTTCATCTGCACCTCCTCCAGCTCATCTCAAGACACACACTGAGAGACCAATCAGGGAGAGAAAGGTCAGTGACCAGAAGCAAACAAAGAGAAGAAGTGCTCACTCCAGGGCAGACAAGCCTGACCATAGACAGAAATCAAGTATTGCCCTCGCTACTGCACAGAGAGGAAGCGCAGCAATCGTCAAATCAACCGGTAAGAAGACAACCTTTGATTGAACACATCCACGTACTTGCACAATCCGGGACATTGAAGACTGATCTATCAACTTACCAGCGCACCATGTACGGTGCACATAAAGACAGAACAAGCTTGCATATATATTGACCGCATGCTTGTTATGTAACTAATCTATATCATCTTCGTATACAACTTCCAGCGTTGCCCTGTCCTCGTAGTAGTAACTGGGCCAAGATAAATGTTCTAGACTCTGGGACTAGACTTAGAGTTTTAGTCCAACGGTCCAGATCGCCATCTGCACGCGTACATTTAGTACCGCCACAGCAGCCTCCTTTTGGGGGGAGAGACGTTTTTAGAAGCGGTTACCACGGTTACAACGAAGAAAAGACCGTGGACACATCCTCACACCATCCTATTTCTGTGCAATTCTTCTATGCAGGAAAACCCAAAGTCATAAAAATAGATCAAGGACTAAGACAAAAGATGGCTTCTTCGTTGAAATGGACCTAAAGCTGTAAAGCTGTAAAGAACCAAAAACGCAAAAAAAAAATCCTAAAAAAAAATCAACCAGTTGCCCTGCCCACAAACATTTCATCGTTACAACTATTGCCCCTTGTTTTCTGGTTCACACTCAGCAAAGGGAACCGTCACTCTTCATCAAGGTGCCATAGCAGAGAGAAGCGGAAGAAAAAGTTAACCTCACGATCGTTTATCAAACAGCTTGTTGTGTTTTTTTCGTCTGGACTTAACGCGTTTGACACTTGTGTTTTTTTGCCAGGGTTTTCAGCTTTTTGTTTCTTTTTTGTTTACTTGTGTGTTTCACCTGTTTCATTATTTACGGTGGTGCTACCGTTATTGGAAGGTCCACAGAGCACACACTTTACCACACACATAGAGAAGGAACACAGTTGTACGCGATATGTCTCACCGTAACAGTACCTCTGTTTCAACGGGTGCTTTTGGTTCCACCGTGACCACGTCTGTCGACTGGGGAGAGCTGGAGAGCTCGTTGACATCATCAACATCCTTCCTGTCGTCATCCACTTTCTACTCCAGTAATAATGAGAGTGTGATATCAACCACTTCAGAGTATGGTTTTGCTGAAGCGGTAGGGTCGACAACGCCAGAGAGCCAGATATCGTCATCCATCGGCCAGTCAGCTGCACAGTCAACGGGTTCAATCAGTGAAGCTTTAATGTCAAGTTCCAGTGCAGGTGTAAGTTCTTCAGTTCTATCCAGCTCATCGCCGTCGATTTCGTGGTCCTCGCTGAATATGAGCTTCAACTCCACGTACGGTTCCCATTTGACTGGCTTTGCAGCTTCAACCGCAACTGGAACTTCCGCGTTAGAGTCTAGTTCGAGCCACAGCTCAAGTTCAAGGACAAGCCAGACTACAAGAACTGGAGGGAGAACTACTCGCAGTTTATCGTCTTCATCCTCATCGGTCTCATCTTCAGACGAGCCTTCCCCAGACATGACCACTTCTTCCACCATCTCACCTACGGAGGAAACATCAACAACCATTTACTATTCACAAGAGTACTACATCACAGATTCAGAAACGACATTCACAACGTTTATACCCACAATGACAGTCGTTGATGCAACGTCTACACCTACACAGACCAAAGCCACGATAACCACAGACCTCGCATTCTTGGAGAATGCTAATCTATACAGTGCTAGCCACTCAAACTCTTCAACTGATAGTACGAACCGAGGAGGTATTATTGGAGGTGCCATTGGCGGTGTTGCTGGATTCATCATCGCCATTGTTCTGCTGTGGTTATGGCGTCGCCATAATACCCGCAAACGGGGAGAGAAGAAGGGATTTTCTCACTCGATAACCTCTACAAGACGGTATGACGAAGAGATGTTCAAAGAAAAGAATGACTCAGGAGACAACTCCAAGCTTTCGATGAGCGGGTTATTCTCCTGGCTAAAGAGAACTCACTCGAACACTTCGACTCACTCGTCAGTATCAACAAACCCCTCTTCAGCTGGATTGGACGGTCTAAGATCATCAATATTACAAGAACAGGAACTCCAACAGCTGAACCGTTATGCACAGCCATACGGACAACTATCTTCACAGCAGAGAGAAAGAGTTCAAGGATATGAAACCATGAGAAGAATTCATACAGTTGAGGAAGATGAGGAGTCACCAGTGGAATCACCAGTTGCCTATAGCAAGAAACATTCACAGACTTACAAGTCATCAAGATTACAAAACCCAAGGTTGTTAATCCAACAGCAGGAGAATCCATTTGAAGAGACGAGGAGAAGACCACCACCACCACCTCCTCCTCCAGCAGCCAGAAAATCTACTGCTACAATGGCGATGCTTGACCACCATCGTTCTGGAAGTGCAAGTCGACATTCAAGTGCATCACAGGATTCGAGCGTACTGAGTGATTCAGGAGACAGCGATGACAGTTTACTTGCAGAGAACGATGGAAACGCAGGTTCTAGTGCACAGAGAGGATTCTTTGTAGAGATTGTTTAAATTACAAGATACGTTTGAAACAAAAGACACATTGTTTCAACCTTCTCCAAGTTTGTCAACCTAGAATTTACCATAACATTTCCACCTGTACCATATCCTATATCCCCTATGAAGTTACTGGGAAACACACACTGGCCTATATCCCAGTGTGTATCATCAGTCCCAGTCTTAGATGCTAAGATGAAGCTGGCTCGCCTCCATAACCAACATCTGTTCCTTGTACTTTTCCGCCTCCTCAGAAGACGATATGTACTTCCAGCCCAGATACTCATGGCACTGTACGCATCGAACATCCTTCACAAGGTACGTGCCAGTTCTCAGCCTGCGCTTCTCGATAGAGCCTTCGTCCAAGTTTACTGCCCTCGACACCAACAGCCCTTGCCCTGTTATCCCCGTAAACGAATCTGACACAATCTGACAGGATTGGAAGATGTGAGCATGGCAGTTCTCACACATATAGACAGAGTTTCCCTTCGTACGCTTGAGCTGTTGTTGATAGTATAGCCCCATACTTGCAAAATCCCCACTCAGGTTCAAATGCTCCGCCGCCTTATATTTGCTTGATAGAGATGTGTCAAAAGGGAGAAAGCGGAATGTTATGTACCATAGAAGGAGGATCAACATCCCGGTTGTGTGTGTCATTAACCGTGAGCTGCGGGTTGGGTCGTGCGAGAAACGACACATAGGCATCCCTGCCACATCTATAGGGACAATTGCGGTGGAAAATGATGACATGGCATCCACACACCACAATCCACACCCTAAACCACACAAGTGATAGTAACTCGAGATTGAAACATGTTTAGGAACTGTGTTAGACCACTGGTGTCAGCTAGACGTGCAACCCTTACACAGCCGGCGAGATTCTATGCTGCAAGTACACATGGGCGTGTTTTGATCAGGGCCAGACAGCTCATAAAGGAGCAGACCGAGTACCGGCAACTCCCTGACGACTCTCAGTACATCGAGAAGTTCTACAATGAGCTAAGTACCTTCCACGATGAATTGAAAGGTAACACGGGGATACCGCAGAGCTCCTTTTCAGAGTTCGAGGACAACCCCAACGCGCTGATTGCCACACTGGAGGACTTCATACAGGACAAGATCCTATCCGTGTACGGGGGTCGAGTGGATTCCGGCGCAAAGGTTGTCATCCAACGGTATGGCGAGTTCCTCCACAACGTGAAGACCACCCTGATACTGAACGGTGGCCATCCTTTCATATTTGACGTTCTGATCCAGAACAAGCAGTTGTTTGATGGGTTTGATAAAGGACGCGGGTAATCGGGGTGTTCGCAGCGTAGTTTCGCCTGGCACGCGCTATTAGATGTTGCTGTATTAAACGAGGGGGACAGGTTTCTTTTCTTTCTTTCTTCCATCAAGCACAAGATGCACTGGTTTGTAACTAGGCACTTCATATAACTATCCAACTGTTCCCGTAGTTTTCTTTTCTCTCCTGCCATAGATCTCCATCTGTTAACAAGGCGCCAATAATGTCCTCCACACTAGAACAGTATGATATGCCCGACATTGACAGCGTTACATCTAACGTTGGCCGCACGGAGACTGCTGATGATTTGAGAAGAGAGCTCACACGGGCAACCACAAGAGACGTCAACACCCCAGAGAACGCCAGGGCCTTCCCAGAGGAGTACACCGTGGAGACAGAAACCGGGCTGGTCAAGACGCAAACCGTCAGGGAGGCCAAAGGGTCTCAGTACAGAGGCGGGCTGGACCCAAAGAAGGTCAACAAGGCCATAGAGAAGAACAGACGGGCACTACAAGGCGGAGGCGGCTTTTGGAGTAAGCTGAAGAGAAAGATCGGCATGTGAAGCCTGTATGGATGTATATATTTCATATAGAAAGTGCAGCTTTGGAAACCATTTAATCGTTAATGAATAATCGCCCTGGAAATGTGTCAACTGTATCACCATAGCACGGGCGGTGTGCGTTAGGCAGTGCTGAGCAATCAGCACAAACCAAGCCATTCCGCCTTCATCACGTGCTCAAACTCGGTCAGATCCTTCACTTCCAATCATCAAACGTAGTTGTTTAGAGCCGGCAACAGCACTGCCAGCGCCCCCGAGCCCATTGTTCGAGGTAGAACGAAGTAACGGCGCGCGCTCCCTGTCCCCCTCCCCCCCATCAAAACTCCGTGAGCCAAGGTCCCGCTAATTTGTTCTAAACCCCACACAGGCCCCGGTTACAACAGGCTCAAACTGACTGCCCACACGGGTGCACTTTGCGAGTGGAGTACTCTAATTTCTTCTGCTTACTCTTAGATGATGCTGATCTTGAAGCTGTGAGCCATAGACAATGTGTATACTGCTTATAACCAACGCGCATCCTCAGTTCCCCTTCATACTGTGTTCCAATAGGGACGAGTTTTTAGCCAGGCCTACGCACACAGCGCACCAGCATGTGTACAACGGCATGGCGGTCTTCTCGCCTCAGGACCTTGCTCGTGTGGATCACGGCACATGGATAGCGTTGAATCCACAAACCGGCCAGCTGGCCGTTCTGGTGAATTACAGAGAGGGCCCTAAGCTCACGGTCAACCCTGTGTCTAGAGGAGTTCTTCCTTTGGAGTACGTGACCAGTTTGAAGAGGTCGAGGTGTGGGTTCTTGAACGAGCTGAGGGCAAAGTTCGGCAGCGACGTACTTGAGGATATTGGCGGGTTTAGCCTGATGTTTGGTACGATAGGCGGGTCGTTTGACGTTGTGAGTAACAAGACAGCTGATGATTTCAAGGTGTTCGTGGAGCCTGGCGAAGTTCATGGCTTGAGCAATTCCAAGTTTGACCAGCCATGGGAGAAAGTTAACATTGGAGAGCACAAGTTACGAGAGGTGTTGGACATGGGGATAACGAACAAGGACGAGCTGGTTGAAGAACTGTTCAAAGTGTTAAGTCTTGATACGATGAGAAACATCACCAACGATTACGAGGCAAACTACCGCAACATTGAAAACAGCATTTTCATCCCTCCTCTACTTGTGAGGGACTACACCAGAGGGAACGTACTGGCTGGGAAGTACTACGGGACGAGAACCCAAACCGTCATATTGCAGGATTTGAAAGGCTCAATAACCTATATTGAAAGGAATCTCCACTCCAGCGATGATCTCGAAGAAAAGCCACAACAACGCTCATTTGAATTCACAATCCCAAACGTTACGAAGTCCTATTTCCACTAATCACAAGAGGAGCTCTAGCTTCCCAATAGTGACTCGTGCAAACTCCATACTCTTTGAAACGCAGAAACTATGCGTGTATTCCTCTGTCATCAATACATCAACATCTATGCCCTCTGTCTCCGTGAACATCTGCACCAATCTATCGCGTGTAGAGTCCTTGATCCAGTGATCTCCCTCAGTGAACACACACCATATATCTCCACTTGTCTGCACAAACCACTGCGATTGGTATCCCCAAAGGTCACGGATCGTACCCATCTCCTCTGTTGCCAACCCCAGAGCCTGCCTTATGAACCCAGGGCTTGTCACCAACAGATTGGTACACTGGATACTGTCCTCATTCCCATCTTTAAGGACGGTATGTAGTAGGGAGGTCATCCATCTAGTTGGAATGTACTGTGTCAAATACCCGAGGTAGCCAACGCCATGGGCAAAGGAGGTGAGATTGGACACCACAGGACTCAGCTTTGAGCCCTTTGCACTCTGGTTGATCTCCACAATCGTGGGCATCAGCAACCCGTGGAATCTCCAGTCCAACTGCGGCAGTCTCTCAACGCATCGTTGCAGTACATAGCAGCCCACAGAGTGTCCCATGATGAACACCGGCCTACCGGTGTACTTCTCTAATAACGACACCTTATGTTCTATCTGGTCATCAAGTGTAAACACCTCGTCCACAGGACCGTCCAGCGAACTGAACCCGCAATGCGATATGCCCAGGATCTCCAATTCTGGGAACCTACTGTGGATTGCCTGTAGATAAACGGTATAGTAGTTGATGAACCCGGGATTCCCAGGCAGGAAAACAAGCAATGGGCTCCTCGAGTTCGAATTGAGACCCGGTGTAAAGTGTAACACCGTAGCCGCCACGTCTCTTCCCTTAACAGTAGACACAACCTGCTTTAACGACATATCCTCCCCGTCCAATTTTACTGGCGGTCCACCTGCGCTCAGAGCGCCTAGGCGGAGAGAGAGAGGCTTCAGCGGTAGCGAAATACGGTAATTGGACAGAGCCTCCGTTGAGAGAGAGGAGCGCGGCAGAGAAATAGAAGGAGAAAAAAACTTCGAACCCCCTTAACAAAACAACACAATCAGCTTACAACAGAGGGTCATCTTCTACACAACAACCAAGCAATGTCTGACTACCCAGTGTATTTCCGTGAGCCTATCCGTGTAAGTGGATTTTGTATTTGAGAGCAACGGTTCAGGCCAAGTACTAACGACGCTTGCGTAGTGGTGCCGTTACCATGCACACAACCGTCCACACATCTTCTTCTCCGTGGCCATTGGTGTTGCTGGTCCTATTCTTGCTCTAACGCTGACTCCGTTGAGACGCAAGTTCTTGTTTGAGGACCACGAGCCTGTTCCATTCTCATATCCTCTGCCAAACAGAGCTAGAGATGCAACGTTGAAAGGGTACGACGACTGAAGGAGAGAGTTTTCCCTAGTAGTATACACACATATTTATTCACTCGGCCCCTTTTTTGTTTATCATTGCACTTCTCAATTATTTATTCTATTTATTACATTGAACATACCTTCTATTTTTATACAAGTATGTGTATTTTGTATTTACAGGGTTGTTTCTAAAACTGATGCGAGTGTTTTCTGCGTGAACGAAGATCACCACTTGTAATGGCCCTCGAGCTTGAATCTCAGCTTTTCGTTTGGCAACTGTGAGATGGCCTTCTTCTTCAACTCCTTCTGTTCCTTTTCCCATGCCAATCTCTTTTGTGTCTGTGGGGTCTTGAGAACGGCCCTCACATGGATATATGGGTGGTGAATGATACCCGTTCTACCTCTTCCCTTTGGATCAACCCTCTTTCTCCACATTCCATCGGAACCACACCAGATCTGTGAGATGTACAGCTCCTTAGCGTCAAGACCAAGCTGATGGGCTTCTTCGACACCTTCTTGCAGTAGTTTGGAAACTTCCTTACCAATCTTCTTCGAGTGGAACTGACCTTGTGTGATGGCCTCGTTGACGTTCATGCCAGACACAAATCTCAAAAAGATGGTGGCCTTCTTCCAAGAGGACTTCAATCTGAAAGACTTCAGATACATAGAAGGCTCCAAGGCCTCCAGCTCTCTAGCAGAGAGTTTCAGCTTGTACTTCTCTCCAGTTGTCAGCGTTACCGGCTCGTTGTTCTTGAAGAATCCATTCTGCTTGACATTGGCCTCGTAAATCTGCTGCTTGAGCGGAGTCAAAAGCTTCGCAACGGCGCTCTTTGGCGTATGGCCTATGAACTCCTGCAGCTTTGTATCGTTGTTCAGAGTCACCTTACTAACATCAAACTCCTCATCAGCATTACCCATGCTCTGCAGGGAATCAGAGAAGTCACGCTTGGATCTGTTGTTCTCCGGTTGTACTTCTGTTACATCGCCAAAGATCGAAGACGACTTCTCCTGTAATACAGCGCTGGAAGAGCTGAACGGACGCGCACCGAAAACGCTTCTCTTCAACAGAGCTAAAGGTCTAAATCTCACACTCATTATCCAGCTCTCTCTACCGCCCTTTGTTGTTTACAACACTTCTCCTCTTCTTTTGTGGTTCTTCCTGAACATCGTCGAAGGTTTTTTTTTCTGCCGCCGGTTGTGAGACTCGGTGTCATTTATGCCCTCGGAATTCATTGTTATTGTTGTTTTGTGTGTGGTTTTTGTGTTCGTCCTGGTGGCGACAATTTTCAACGCTTCTGACAACCAAAACAAAACACAGATAAAGGAATACGATCCAACACCAACATCAAGAATCACGAGGAGGGCGCTTGAGTTACCAACACACGGCGGCACGTATTATTCACTTCTAAGGTATACACAGAGAGAAAGCGGAACAAATACATACAGCATGGCCACAAGTACTGCTGCTCCTTATTTGGCGCTATTGGGGGAACAGGATTCAGAGCTCAAGAAGTATGCGCTCCAGGGAATCAACGGCGTTGTTGATGAGTTCTGGTCCGAGGTGGCGAACGACATTCTAACGATCGAGGAGATCTACGAGGATGAGTCTTTTACGGAGCGTAAGCTGGCGGCGTTGATTGCATCGAAGGTTTACTACAACTTGGGGGATTTCGAAACCTCTGTGAAGTTTGCCCTCGTTGCTGGTGAAGAGTTCAACATCAACGAGGACTCCCAATTCGTTGAAACCATAACGTCAAAGGCAATTGATCAGTACATTGCGCTGAAAAGACGTGAATTCGAGAGCGAATCTGTGGAGATTCCACAGCAGTTGGAGAACATTTTTGAAGCAATGCTTGCAAAGGCTACAAAAGCCCATGATTTGAAACTCGTTGTCGGTATTGCACTTGATGCCTACAGACTGGACATTGTTGAGAAAGTCATCAACAGTGAGCTGAGCAATGAAGACAGCGTCCTGGCTCTCATTGGGTATGCATTGAACATTGCAACGTCTATTATCGACAGCACAACTTTCAGAACCCAAATCTTGAATTCACTGGTAAAGATCCTCACCGGGTTGAAATCTCCAGATTTTTTCATTGTGTCCAAGATCATTGTGAACTTGAATGACGATAAACTCGCCACCCACTTGTTTACAAATCTTCTGGAATCTAAAGATACGAATTCGAGACTCATTGCATACCAAGTTGCATTTGATTTAGTTAATTCTGCCTCCCAGGAGCTACTTGATAAGGCCATTGTCGCTTTGGAGAAATTCAACAAGGATGGTGAAGATATTGTTATTTCAAAGATAACCAAGATCCTTTCTGGTATTCCAACTTGTGACTTCGATATTACATTCTTGCACAAGAATAATAACACAGACATTCAAATCTTGAACAAAGCGAAGGAATCTCTCGACGGAAGAAATTCCATCTTCCACTCGGCAATTACATTTGAAAATGCCTTTTTGCATGCTGGAACTACAGACGATTCATGGATTAGATCCAACTTGGAATGGTTGGGAAAGGCTACAAACTGGTCAAAGTTCAGTGCAACCGCGGCATTGGGTGTTATTCACAAGGGTAACTTGTCCTTGGGAAGAAAAATCTTACAACCGTACTTGCCAGGAAGTTCCGGTTCCAATTTCACAAAGGGTGGTTCCTTGTATGCTCTTGGGTTGATCTTTGCTGGCCACGGTAGAGAAACTATTGAGTACTTGAGAAAACACATTGTAGAAAATGGTTCATCCGCAGGCACTGAGGATGTAGACCTGCTCTTGCACGGTGCTGCATTGGGTGTTGGTGTTGCTGGTATGGGATCAGGTAATGAAGAGATTTACGAAGAGTTAAAAGTTGTATTGTACTCAGATTCAGCAACTTCCGGAGAAGCTGCTGCTATGGGTATGGGTCTTGTGATGCTGGGATCTGGAAATGAGGCTGCTCAAGAGGACATGTTGGCTTATGCTGAAGAAACACAACACGAAAACATTATTCGTGGTTTAGCCGTGGGTCTTGCCTTGTTAAACTATGGCCGCGAGGAGAAAGCAGATGATATCATCAACAAGTTGTTGGAACACCAAGATCCAATATTGCGTTTTGGTGGTGCCTACAACATTGCGTTAGCATATGCTGGTACCGGTAACAACAAAGCTATTAAGAAGTTACTTCATGTCGCAGTTTCAGATTCTAACGACAATGTTAGAAGAGCATCCGTTATTGCATTAGGTTTTGTTCTTATCCGTGATTATCAAACTGTTCCAAGAATCGTTGAATTACTCTCGGAATCCCATAATCCTCATGTGCGTTACGGTACTGCAATGGCGTTGGGTATCTCATGCGCCGGCCGTGGATTACCACAAGCTGTTGAGGTTTTGATGCCATTGACCAAGGATCCAGTTGATTTTGTTCGTCAAGGTGCCCTTATTGCTTTGGCCATGATATTAATTCAACAAAATGAGAAGAGCTACCCTAAAGTCAAAGAAGTTCGTGAGCTCTATGCGTCAATGGTTGGTAGTAAAACACAAGATGCGTTGGCAAAGTTCGGCGCTGCTCTCTCACAAGGAATAATAGATGCGGGCGGTCGTAACGTTACAATTCAGTTAGAGAACAGTGCCACCGGTACCTTGAACACCAAAGCTATTGTTGGATTGGCCGTTTTCACACAGTTTTGGTATTGGTTCCCATACACACACTTTTTATCGTTGGCCTTCACACCAACTTCTATAATTGGTGTTCGAGAAGATTTAAAGATTCCAGAGTTTGAAATTCAATGTCATGCAAAGAATTACTTCTTTGATTACCCTCCAAAGATTAAGGAGGAGAAGGGCCTTGTATATGAGAAGGTTGAATCCGCTGTTCTCTCCACCACTGCAAAGGCTAAGGCCAGAGCTAAGAAATCCAATAAGGACAAGGATGATGAGATGGACATTGATGAGAAACCAAAAGCAGATGAAAAACCAAAGGAGGAGGAGAAGACGGAAGAAGAGGAGGAAGATACCACCATCAAGTACTGCAAGACACCGTACAAGCTCAACAATGCTACCAGGGTTTTACCAACACAACTGAAATACATTTCTTTCAGCAAGGATGCAAGATTTGTGCCTGTGCGTAAATTCAGAGGCAACGGAGGTGTTGTTGTGTTGGTGGATAGAACCCCAGAGGAACCAGTCAAAGTCATCAAAACTGTTCGACAACTAAACAACAAGGATGCTCCATTACCAAAGCCATTCAAGTTGGAACCGACAGAGGCTGATGAGTAAAACCGTTGAATCAATCAAATAACCGACAAAATCAAAGTAAAACCAATGCTACTAGTTAGACTGAACTTCTACAAATTGTAAATTCTATAAAAGTATTCCGTTGATATTAGAAGCGTATGTGTTGAAACGCTTACAAGTATAGAGTGTAGGAAAAGAAAGTAAAAAAAGAGGAACCAGTCATCACTTCATTAGGTGGCCCAATAAACCCTTGGGAGTTGTCATGTTAAAGACAACATTATTTTTCTGTTTTCTAAGATGGTTGTGCTGTGAGAGAGTGTCGTCTCCAATGACTTAGTACAAGATTCTGATGGCGATCTTGAATGGAGTGTTACTCAACTCATCGTGCAAGGACTTGATGTCACCAGCAGAGACACCAGAGACGTCTGCAATCATGTAAGCGATATCACCTTGGGAATCAGAGTATTGTTTCTCAATGTTGTAATCTGCGAGAATGTTGTTGACAGTCTTCAACACACCTGGAACGTTTTGATGGATGTAAAGAACACGAGCAACGTTTTCCTCGTCCAAATCAAGGGCTCTAAGGGAAACCTCTGGGAAGTTAACAGCACCTACAGAAGCACCTTCGTTGATGTACTTGGTCAAAGCGGTACCAACCTCGATACCGATGGCGGACTGTGCCTCCTCTGTGGAACCACCAATGTGTGGAGTGAGGATCAAGTTACGCAGAGAAACCAACTCGGAGGTCCAGTCGTTCAATTCGTCGGCAAAGAGGCCGGCACCGTTCTTAGCTGGCTCGTGTGGGTAAACATCCAAAGCAGCACCTGCGATCTTACCGGACTTCATGGCAGAGATCAAAGATGGGATGTCAATGACGGTACCTCTTGAGGCGTTGATAACGTAGGAGCCATCCTTCATAGCGGCGAACTGTGGAGCAGACAACAAGTTCTTGGTCTCTGGGGTGGCTGGCACGTGACAAGTCACGAAATCAGCCTTTGACAGGAGTTCGTTCAAAGTGGACACTTGCTTAGAGTTACCCAAGGACATGATCATAACGATATCGTAGTAGATAACGTTCATACCCAAGGCCTCGGCAAGGACGGACAACTGGGAACCAATGTGACCGTAACCGATGATACCCAAGGTCTTACCTCTCACTTCCCAACACTTGGCGCTGACCTTGTTCCAAGTACCGGTGTGAAGCTCGATGGATCTGTCTCCCAATTGTCTAGCCAAGGAGATGATCTCTGCAATCACCAACTCAGCGACAGATCTGGAGTTCGAGAAAGGAGAGTTGAAGACGGCAATACCTCTGGAAGCAGCGTACTCCAAATCAACTTGGTTGGTACCGATACAGAAACAACCGATGACAACCAAGTTCTTTGCAGCTGCCAGGACCTTTTCAGTCAGCTTGGTCTTTGATCTGATACCAACTGCGTGGACAGATTGGATCTTCTCAATGAGCTCCTCCTCTGGCAGGGAAGTCTTGTAAAAGTCAACCTGGTAGCCTTGTTCCGTGAAGATGTCAATGGCAGTCTGGTTGACGTTTTCGAGAAGAAGAATCTTCATGTCACCTGCTGAGAAAGGCTTCAAAGGCTTGGTGTGCTTGGACACCGAAAGTGCCCTTGAGCGGAACTGGTTCTGCAGAAAGGATTGTGAAGGGGAGGTGGAAACAGCACCTGGGGAACCAGACACCGTGGCCCTGTTGAAGGCATCCTGGAGATCGTTGATTTGCTGTGGAGAAGCCATTGGCAATGCTGTGTAGATGTGATTAATTCCAATTGCTTTTACAGTTGACAGAGCAGAGTGCAAAGTTTTCCAAGTGGTTATGACGCACCGTTTAAATACTTTCCGCCTGGATTTTTTTTTGTGGCCCTGCTATATAAATTGGCTTAATTTAAACACATTGGCATCGACTCATCGCAGCCTGCGGATCATTTTTTCGTCTTTATTCCTCCAATTACACCGGTTCCTGGACATTTCTCGCCCATAAGTTCTGCCCTTCACGAAACCCACACGGGCAGAGCGAGAAAAATTTTCAGTGTTCCATGATCAAATCACGTGCGATTGTGCGAATTACTCGTTAGACCACGTTGTACTGTTTTCAGTGGGCAGTGTATGAGTTTTTTTCAGGCCAATTTCGGGGTTTGGATGTGGTTGTTGTTGCAGCGACTGTGGGAGGTGAGTTGTGATGCGATTCATGGGGCGTAGGCTGGGAACATAGCTGGTAAGAGGATACGTGTACATGGTTTTTTTTTTTTTGCGAGAGGGAGGTTCCATTGTGTGGGGCATTCCTTTTTATGTCAGTGCTTGAAGGATAAGAAGTGATATCATCGATATGGTTGTCACAATTCCCGAGTCAGAGGAGGGCATGTGGCCCGTGTGTGGTTTTTTGTTGGCCGCACGCCCGGGGCGGCTGGAGGTGGCTCGTGCGGTGGCGGGTGGGAGTTTTTGAGAGTGTTGGGTGCCGGGGTGTTTGGGTGTTTTGCGGGACCGAGTCACAGGCTTTTGTTCTCTTTCGACTCTGGCGCGTTGCACAACCGAGAGGATTGCAAGTGTCTTATGTGCGGGACAAGGACGCGTTGTATCGTGGGGCAAGAGAGAGGCGCTTCAAGCCGTTGGGGATAGTGGATTGGTTACACGTCAGCGGGTGATCCACCGGATCGACAATATACAAGCGGCGGGAAACTGCTGGACACGCTGAACCACGCGCGTATCTCACGGTGTATGTAACCTGTGGAACTATAGCGTGGAGCAGTTGACTCAGAGAGAGGTGCCCTTGGCCCTACGCCATGGACCGTCAAGCCTCTCCAGAGATGAACAATGCCACGCACC